CTGGACTGACCTATCCCCTTCCTAACTCCCTACCTACACTCACCTTTACTGGCTCCATCCCCGCCTCTTCGACCTGTTTGTTTCCTCCCCACCTATCCTCTCCTCTATCCCTCTTCTATCCGCCTCCCACTCTCTCCCTATTTATTTCAGAACCCCCTTCCCCTCCCCCTTTTCTGATGAAGGGTCTAGGCCCGAAACGTCAGCCTCTCTGCTCCTATGATGCTGCTTGGCCTGCTGTGTTCATCCAGCGCTGCACCTTGTTATCTTATTGTGAAGCTTGTTCTGTTTCCCAACTGTTGCATTCAGCGTGAATCCATAACGTTTTGCTGAACCTGTGTGTGAGAATTTCACCCAAGGAAACTTGCACTGTTTAAATTTGTTTTTTTTTCGTTACCAGGAATACCAGGACTTGGAGCGTGACCCTCCAGCACTGTGTTCAGCAGGTCCAGTAGGAGATGACTGTAAGTGCACAGAGTTACAGAACGTCTTTCTTGTGTGTGATGTTCGGCCAAGGGCAAAACTGCCATTTAAATGGTCATTGTCAGACATATGCTTGAAAGCTAAAAACATTGAGAAGAAATGTTTAAAAAGTGCGTGCTTACCTTCCTGCTTTTCAGCATAGAGTAGCTTTTAGTGAAAGTCTGGTTGGTCAAAGGTTGTTTTAGGTGGCTGACTAATTCCTCTAAAGGGGATGATGATGAAAAGCGAAGTTTGTTGCAACTTGCACTTGGAATTTCCTGAAAATGTTTCTGTTCAAGATTTGATGGCGCTGTGACATTGAGCGACCAAATATTATTAATTCGAAGATGCGTGGTTTCATAATACAAAACATGGACACAAAACTAGAATCACCCTGACAATCAAGTCATTTCCAGCTGCCTTTTACCTTCATTCAATGCTAAGTCCTCATTTTTATTTGCACGCTGACAGTTTTCTCTCTCTGGCTCTTTTTGGATAGAACTGCAAGTGTTTGAGGATCGAGGGAAAGGCAGGAGAGTAGCACTAGATAATAGAGTTAGTGCTGGCATGATGGACCAAATGGCCTCCTCCAGCACTAATAATTTTTGATTGTGTTACCTACTTTCATGTCAATCCATTTCACGTTTCTGCTTTTTTTCCTTCTCTTGTGTCTCATGACATCTTGTATTGCATGTGTGTTCAATGTATTTTTCCTCTTTCAAGAGGTAAAATAGATAGCCAGCAGTGTTTTTGAGGAAGTTGAGAGACATGCTGCTACGTACACGTGGGAGTGAAGCTTTGAAATGATTTGAAATGAAACCAGTGTGCAGAAACTGAGAAGCTGAAGAGAAAAGATTGCTTCAATGACAGAAATTTCAATGCATTTTAGGCAATTAGAACCTTTGACTTTGTTGAATTAGGCAGCTTTTTGGGGTTAGAATGGATTTAGGTTGTCTTGCAAAATGTGACAAAAATGGAATGACAGAATTACCTGTGTAGGTAGACAGAAGATATAATGCATGTTCATATTACTATGAATGAAGCCACATTAGCAATAATTGGATCCATGATATCTATCAAAAAGCTAGTATGAAGATATAGAAAGTGACTAAGGCGGCTCATGGAATACTATCCTTTATTAAGAGAGGGACAAAAGTAAGGATATTATGCTTCAGTTATACAGAGCATTGGCGAGACTGCATCTTAAATTTGTGTGCAGCTTTGGTTTTAACGAAGGACATAAATGTAGTAAAGGCTGTTCACTGGTTTAGTAGATTCACATCTGGAATATCTGGTTGTTTTAGAAGGATGCACCATGTCCTTCAGAAAGTGATGGAGTTGGAGCCATTGAATATTTTTAAGGTGGAGGTGGAGATGCATAGTTTCTTATTAGGCAGGAGAATCCAATATAGATATGAATGTGGAATTTGGAACACAGATCTTGATCTTATTAATGGTGGAGAACGTTTGGAGGGCTAAGGGGCCTTCTTCTAATTCATATGTCTGATATGAACCTGCATATGTTTGTATAGATGCTGTGTAGGCAAAGGTTTGCAGCTGGATCTATGCAGAGTACACGAGTGCAGCACCATCTGTTGTTTTAATTGAGAATCCAACATGCTTTTTTTTTAGCAATTGGCCTTTCCACAATAACTAGTAGATTGTACACTTATCACAATATTAGCCTACACTGTTGCTGGAGATTAACTTTGTTAGGTCTTTTTGTTTTACTGCCTCTCAAAACGAACGCATCTTGTATGACCTCCCTAAACATTCAATGATATCTAACCAGACAGTAGGTGTTCATTTGGGATTTGTCTGGTCTTTCCTCTGCCTCATCCTCACTATCCTTTCATCCTGTACCATCCATGCTACTGTCCGCACCTCTGCTTTTTATTCTCCTAATGGTGATAATACTTCAATACAGCCAGTTCTTTCCCCCCACTCGCCGATGATCTGTGTTGTTTATTCGGTAATGTGCTTCTGTAATCTTTTTGACCACATTGTATGTACCAGTGAGGCACACTTTCAGGGTTCGCTCTGTAAAGGAAGGATTACTAACATCTCAGTCAGTTAAAACATTTGCAATTTCGCAGGGCTGTCCATCTAATATTTCAAGGTTGGTTGAAATGTTCTAAGGCAGTTTTGAACCAGTTTGCTGGCTCCTATGAGCCACTCCTGGAACACAGGTACATCATCTAACGTGATGGCTCATCCCTCAAGCCTAACATCTTTTCTTTGTTTAGTTTCAGAGGTTCCCCTCACCTCATGGCCACAAACTAAGTGAAAATGACGAAAACCAAGTGGACTCATTTGGTAAATCCCATGTGGCAAAGAAATTCCAGTATTTTGTCCCAATCTTGAGGGCATTCATGGCAGTATGCCCTAATTTGAGGGTTGGATGGTGTCTTTCTGAAGTTCCTTGTGTCTGTTGGTGGTATGCTGAGACTCAGTTACGCCCAGATTGTTCATAGCTTCCTGATGTTGTTTGTTGATGTGAAATTGAAATGTTGATCTACTGGACCTCCATCAGTAATTCACAGTGAAGAATTGGGTTAACTTTTTTACAGAGATAGTAGGAACTGCAGATGCTGGAGAATCCAAGACAACAAGGTGCAGGGCTGGATGAACACAGCAGGCCAAGCTTTTTCTGATGAAGGGTCTAGGCCCGAAACGTCAGCCTCTCTGCTCCTATGATGCTGCTTGGCCTGCTGTGTTCATCCAGCCCTGCACCTTGTTGTCTAACTTTTTTACAGCTATTTAGCAGTTATTGTTGTGAAGGGAATGACCTCTGGCAATTGAGTCACCTTATCTTTGTAATGCAATAATAGTTTTGCTGCTTCTGGCCAGAAGATCTGAGTTCAAGTCCCACCTGCCCAGACATGTCAAAAGGTGTCTGAATAGGTTGGTTAAAAAAATCTACACTGATGATCTGCCTTTATCTTTCATGGGATTCTCACTTGCTTCACTGCCTGTTCATGTCTGTTTGTTCAGTATCAAAGGTTGCGCTGTTACCTCAGTTATATCTGTTTTCCATGCCCCTACTTTTAACTGTAGACTTCTGATGTCCTCCTTGTGTCTCCTGCTGCAAGCCGTTACTTCTGTGCCTCAACAGAGGTTGGAGGAGTGCACCATTGCCTTTGTCCCATCACTCCACAGGTCTCACATAAAATCACAAATACTTTTTAAGCACTGATCAAAATCAGGTTTCAAACAAGACCTATCAACCTGGTTTCTTAATAAATATCCCTGTTGGGTTTATTATCAACAGAACTTATTCAATAAACATGCAGAATTTGGTTCAGTAATATAGACATGTGCAAACGTTAACTTGAGGAAAAGATAGATTGGCTTTCTGAAAAGATAAACACTTTTGCCAATAGGTTAATTCTGAAAACAAAAGGACAAAATGTGATTTTATCCCAAGTCATGCTCCGGTGTTCTGGCACATGTGATCAAGTCATGAATCATGCATAGTTCTCTCCGAAAACTTGCAGACTCAGAAAGCTCAAGAAGTGCAAACTTCTTCATTCACTCTTTCAAAATAATTCAACTAGAGAATTGCAGATATAGGACAGATCATAACAGTGACAGACCTATCCCCACCAATACTTTACTGCAGTGCTATACAGTGACAGACATGTCCTCACCAGGATTAAACCCCGGTGTTATATAGTAACAGACCTGTCCCTCCCAGTACCAAGCTCCGGTGTAATACCGTGACAGGCCTGTTCCCACTAATACTTTACTCCGGTCTTATACAATATCTGGGGAATGATAAAATCTCAGGAAATTGAGAGAATACCAAATGAAGAACAGAGATGAAGTAATTGCTGACTTTAAGAGAAAAGCCAACTCACACTCCTCTTTCTTTCACAGATTTTCATTGGCAAGCTACTATCATGGGGCCAGTAAGTATCCTGTCTTTGTACACACCGCCTTTCACTGTCTGTGCGAATGTTTTTGCTGACTTGCCCTCTCTGATGTTTTTTTGTAGAGTGACAGCCCTTACCAAGGTGGTGTTTTCTTTCTGAATATCCATTTCCCATCAGATTATCCTTTCAAACCACCAAAGGTAAGAGCCACAGCTTGGTTTTCTGAGCATTGGCAAAAGCAACAATGTGTTTGCTACCACACAACTTATTGTTTTTCTCCTCGACTGTTTCATCAGGTTTCGTTTACAACGAAGATCTATCATCCAAACATTAACAGTAATGGCAGCATTTGCCTTGATATTCTCCGATCACAATGGTCCCCAGCTTTAACACTGTCAAAAGGTGAGGCAACCTGTTGTCTTGTCCTAGGTTCAGCAGAAGCTTTCAGATGAGTTCATGGCTTGGTGACTGTTCTTATCCTGCTGACTAGAAAGGTTTCTCAGGCAGCATTAAAGAGAGTCTGCACAGAATTTTAAAGGAAGGTTGTGCCCAACTAATCTGATTGAGTTGCTGACAAAATATCAGAGCAGTTCAGCGAAGCAAATGCAATCGATGTTTGCTGTGTCAATTTTGAAGAAAGTCATAGAATCATACAACACGGAAACAGACCCTTCAGTCCAACCAGTCCATGCTGACCATAATCCCAAACTAAGCTGGTCTCACCTGCCTCCAAACACTTCCTATTCGTGTACTTATCCAAATGTCTTTTAAACGTTGTAATTGTACCCACATCGCTCCCTGAGGAAGTTCATTCTACACACGAACCACCCTCTGTGTAAAAACATTTGCCGCTCATGTATTTTTTAAATCACTCCTCTCTCACCTTAAAAATGTTCCTTCCAGTCTTGAAATCCCTCATCCTAGGAAAAAGACAAACACCATTAAGCCTATCTATACCCCTCATTATTTGATAAACTTCTTTAAAGACACCTGTCAACCTCCTACGCTCCAGTGGAAAAAAGTCCCCATGGGAGACCAGAACTGGACACACTATTCCGGAAGAGGCCTCACCAATGTCCTGTACAACCTCAACGTGACTTCCCAACTCCTACAATCAAAGGACTGAGCAATGAAGTCAAGCATGCCAAATGCCTTTTTAACCACCCCGTTTATATGTGACGCAAACTTCAAAGAATTATGTACCTGAACCCCTAGGTCCCTCTGCTCTACAACATTACCCAAGGCTCTACCATTAATTGCATAAGTCCTACCCTTGCTTGTCGAACCAAAATGCGATAACTCACATTTATCTAGATTGAACTCTTTTAGCCCATTGACCCATTTGATCACGATCCTTTTGTAATCAAGGCTTCTGTAATTGGAGGGTCAATATCAAGTTGAGTAAAATAATAGATTTTTAGAGATCCAGAATAAATGTTTTTCTGATGGGGAGATGGTGGTGTTCCCAAGGCATTGTGCTGGAGCACTACATTTTTCTATGTAAGTGACTTGAAGTGAACATTGGAAAACAATCAGGTTGATATCACTTGACTGCATGCAGCAAGTCAATGTCAATACAGTGTGGAGCTGGAGAAACACAGCAGGTCAGGCAGCATGAGAGGAGCAGGAAAGTCGATGTTTCGGGTTTATATCCTTCATCGGTAGAAAAATTGATTTAATGTTACTCATAATGAGTGTCCTTTTTCCAAAATGTGTTTTGCAACTTTTCCTGACAATTTTGAAGAATTCTAACAATTCTCACTTATTAAATATTGTGACTTATGCAAATAAAGGCTGTAAATCTAAATAAAAACAGAAATGCAATAGTCCTGGCAACGTCTGTGCTGAAGAACTTGTCGGGAATCTCAGGCACTGAGATTAAGCTTTAAGTAATGGACCATCTGGCTATAGAATACAATGCATTGTTCAGTGACTTATCGTGTCTCTCTCTTTCTCCTTCAGTTCTTCTGTCTATCTGTTCGCTGTTGTGTGACCCAAACCCTGATGATCCTTTGGTACCAGAGATTGCACACACCTACAAATCTGACAGGGAGAAGTAAGTGTCTTGGACAGTACTTCATCTGAGAAGAAATAATTTTCCTGTTTCCTGAAAACTTAGGAGCTTAGTATTGAATTGTGCTGAGTGCGCAGAGGTGCTCACATTGGGACTCTGACAATTAGAGATGTAAATGCAATTTCACATTGTCCTACTCCATGTTTTAATGTTCATCTTGTAGCTAGGACTCTATGTTCATAATCGTCTGTCTCTATGAGCCTTGTCCCATTCTTGCAGTATTTAATGTACTTCTGTCACATAATCCTTCACTGCAATGTGTGCACACAAGAAGCCACAGATATTTAATTACAAAATGCAGCAGTTGTACGTTGAGCACTGGACTCCGACCGAGGTCTTCAAGGGAGAATGGCAGCAGATGAGAGACCATCTCGTTGCTTCATTAACATGAGGATAATTCCAAACACAGTGAAATTAAAAGGAGCACAGTCAGGATCTTGTCTGGGGGTTGGTGGTTGATGTGGCCAAGATCTTGGTGAGTTTTGGTAAAATATGAAATTGTTTACTTTGGCAGGAAGAATAGAAAACATTATTCTTTGGATGGAGAACTACTGCGGAGTTCTATGTTAGCGTCATATGAACAGGCCCTTTGGCTCACCATGTCTGTGCTGACCAACAAACACCAAATTGTACTTATCCCATTTACCTGCACTTGGTCCATTGCCTGCTATGCCCTGGCATTTTATGTGCTCGTTCAGATACCTCTGAAATGTTGAGTGTCCCTCTCTCTCTCCACCACCCCCTAAGGCAGCACATTGCATGTTTCTACCACCCTCTGGTGAAAAAATAATTCCTCAGCTCACCTTTAAAACACTTACTCCTCACCTTAAATGTATGCACTCTGGTTTTAGACACATTTGCCATGGAGAAAAGATTCTCAGGATCTACCCTATCTAATTTTGTATATTTCAATCAGACTCCCCCTCCCTTAGCCTCCCCTGCTTCAGGGAAAAGCAACTCAGCCTATCCAGTTTCTCCTCCTAACAAAGATTTTGCACCCCAAACAATCTGCTGGTGAATCTCCTCTGCACCTTCTCCAGTGCAATCACATCCTTCTGACAGTGTGGCGACCAGAGTGCACGCAGCACTCCATCTGTGGCCTAATCAAAGCTCCAGAAAATTGCAACAAGACTTCCCTGCTCCTGCATTCTATGCCCCAGCTAATGAAGGCAAGGATTCCATATGTGTACCTGTACCTGTGCTGATACTTCCAGGGATCTGTGGACTTGCACACCATGGTATCTGTTCTTCAGTATTCCCTAGGGACATACTATACATTGTGCTTCCCTTATTAGACCTTCCAAAATGCATCACCTGACTTTTTGGGGTTAAATTCCAATTCTGTTGCTCTGCCTAATTTACCAGCTAGACCATATCAGACCGTAACCTGAGACTATCCTTCTCATTATCAACAACATCACCAATTTTCGTGTCGTCTTATTAATTACCTCTTCTATAATCACATCCGAATGATTAATCTCCAGAACAAACAAAAGGGTTCCAGCGCTGATCCTTGTGGTACACCGTAGGTCACAGGCTTCCAATTACAAAATCAACCCTTTAGTGTCATGTTTGCCTTTGATCCATGGACTGTACCTTTTGGACCAGCCTTCCATCTGTTACCTTGTCAAATGGCCTTACTGAAGTCCATGTGAGCCACATCAACTGCACTACCCTCCTATTTAGTCACTTTTTTTCAAAAAAACTTCATTAAATTTGTCAGACAGGATCTCATTCAACAAATCCATGCTGATTGTTTCTGATCAGTCTCTGCCTTGGAGGGTTTTTCCAATAGTTTTTTCCAATAATTTCCTTACCATGGTCGTCAGACCAATTAGTCTGTAATTGTCTGGCCTATCCTTGCTGTCCTTGAACAAAGGAACCACATTGACAATCCTCTAGTCAGCTGGTACTTATCCTGTAGCCACCAAAATACTAAATCTCTGCCAGGGCCCCAGTAATCTCCTGTCATGCCTCCCATAATACATCTCATCCTTTTGCATCTTTATGCCTGCTAAAACATTTAATACGCCCTCCCTGTTTATCTTAGCATCTGTAGAACCTCACCATTCCACATGATTTGTCCAGCTACAGTGTCTTTCTCCTTTGTGAATTGAAATCAGAAATATTCATTTCAGAGCTCACCTGTGTCCTTTAACCCTCGTTTACCCCTTGGATCACTAGTAGGCCCCACTCCTTGCCTGGTAATCCTGTTGTTTTAATATACTTAAGAAAAGCCTTGGGGTTTTCCTCAATCCTATCTGTCAAAGATATTTTGTGGCCTCTGTTTCCCTCTTTTTTTATGTCGGCAACCCCACCCACACACTCACTCTCTCACACTGTGTGGTCCTGAAGGACCTCCTCTGTCTTTAATCCACTGTACCCGACATCTGCTTCCTTCTTTGTCTTTCTCCAACTCTTGATATCCCATAACATCCAGGGATTCCTAAACTTGCTTCCCTTGCCCCTCATTCTTAGAAGAACACACTGGTCCTAAATTCTCCTGCTACTGCTTTTAAAAGACTCCCACTTTCCAAATGTAGACTTACCTGCAAATAACTGCTCCCAGTCTGTTTGCCAGATCCTGTCGAATGATACTGAAATTGGCCTTCCCCCAATTTAGTTATTTAACTTCTGCACTGTCCTTATCCCTTTCCGTAACGGCCTTAAAGCTAACTGAGTAATGGTCACTATCGCCAAATGTTGGCCAGCCTGCCCTTTGCGGGGCCTGCCCGCCCACCCTTCAACCATGGGACTGGCTTAATTCCCTATGATTAGGTCGGGCACTGCCCATCTCTAGCGGGACTTTCTATGCACTGGCATAAGCAGCAATCCTGAATGCACTTTAATAATTCCACCCTGTCTAATTCTTTCACACTAGAGCATAGAACAGTACAGCACAGTACCCTTCGGCCCACGATGTTGTGCTGAACTTTTACCCTAAACATAAGGTCTATCTATCCTCCACCCCTACCTTATACTATCATCCATATGCCTATCTAATAGCCGCTTAAATGCCCTGAATGAGGCCAGCTCTACTACCCTCTCCAGCAATGCATTCCATGCCCCGACCACTCTGAGTAAAGCCTCTGACGTCTCCCCTATATCTACCTCCACTCACTTTAAAACTATGCCCCCTCGTAATAGCTACCTCCACCCTAGGAAAAAGGTGATCCTAGTTCATGTTAGCCAATTGAAATCACTTACAACTGTAACCCTATTGCTCTCAATCTCTCGTGATTTGCATACATATCTGCTCCTCTATGTCCTCTCACTATTGGGAGGCTTGTGTATAATTCCAGTGAAGTGATTGTCCCTTTCTTATTTCTAAGCTCTACCCAGAAATCCTCATTTGAAGATCTTTCTAAGACATTCTCCCTACTGCAGTGAATGGTCTCTTTTATCAATAATGCAATTCCCCCACCTCTCTGATTCCCCCACTGTTGTGCCTGAAACTTGCATACCCTGAAATGTGAAGCTGCCAGTCCTGTCCTTCCTTCAGCCATGTCTCAGTGATTGCAACAATATCGTATTGCCACATGCTGATCAATGCTCTAAAATTCTGCCTTGCCAGTCCAGCTCCTTGCACTAAAATAGATACAGTTTAGCTTTCCGATCCTCCCATGTGTCTTAAGACCATGTCCTCTTCACCTCTCTGGCCTAGTATTCCTTTTATATCAAACTGAATCTTGCTGCTGACTTTACATCTGCTCTTGTGCTCCATTCCTCTGCCAAATTAGTTTTAAACCTCTCAGAGGGATGTAGTTGTTCTGGTGCATGCGGTAGTATGCAGGTTCAGCAGGAAGGCTAATGAAATGGTATCCTTTATTATGAACAAACGAGTTTACACAGGGTATCAGTGAGACAAATACTGAGAGCCATTTTGTTCTCCTTATTTAGTGTTGGAGACAGTTGTGGGGAGATTTACTAGATTAATACCTGGGAAGGGCAAGTTGCCTAATAAGGGTAGGTTGGGCAAATGGGGTTTTTTCCAACTGGAACAAACAGAAACAAAACTGTTCTTCCAAAAGGTCACTGGATTCAAAATGTTAACTCCATTTCTCTTTGAATGCTGCCAGACCTGTTGAGTTTCTCCAGCAATTTGTATTTTTGATTGTTTTGGATCACAGCGTCCTCAGTTCTTTGTTTTCTATGCATGTTTGTTTCCACTGGAATTTAGAGCAGTGAGGGGTGACTTGACTGAAGTGTGTAAGATCATGGATGGTCTCTACAAGGTGAACATGGAAAGAATGTTTCCGCTAGTGGGAAAGCCTAAAACTTAGGGGTACTGTTTTAAAATTAGGGGTCACCCTTTTTGGACTGAGATGAGAAGATATTTTTCTGATGTTTGCAACTTCGGAACTCTCTGCCTCAGAAGTCAGTGGAGGGGTTAGCTGAATATTTTCAAGGCAGAGCTGGATAGAACCTTCTGAGGTAGGGAGGGGAATGACACGTTATTGGGGATAGATGGGAGTTTGAGCACCAACATCCACCACAATCTTCTTAAATGATGGAGTAGGTCAGATGGTCTCCTTCTGCCATGTTTTATGCTATGTATGAGTTGGGGTAAGTGTTTGTGTTGTCTCTGTGTTGAGAGTGTCACAGTGCAGTTGTACGTTGGTTGGATGGATGGACACAGACAAGGCAAGTTAATATTCTCTCTCTCTCTCTTTGTTTAGGTACAACAAACTGGCCAGAGATTGGACAAACAAATATGCAATGTAATCGTGACAGACAAGAAATAGTAACTCCTTTACATAATCTGGAATGCAAAAATAAAAGCTGGCTGCAGTTTTATGGAATCCCACCTGCCATTCACAATGAATTTTATACTTGGTGAAGGGTGAGGAGCTCTCTGTCTGAATGCTGATGCGTTCTGGCCTTGGCTCGAGCAGTCGGCCTGCCATATATGGATGTGTATTTTGAAATATACATATATATTTCCTTTTTTATCACCAGTTTCTGTGACCACAGTCCAGTTGTTCGCTGGTCCCCCAGCATTTTACCAGTCACAGATAGAAGGGAGGGAGAAGCAACTCCCTAAGTGTTTATTTTTTGGAAATGTGAAGCTTGTTTTCCTGCTCTATTTATGCTGTCTGCACTGCATACTGTTGAGTGCGTGTTTTTTTTAATATATAGATTATATAAGTGTGTCTGTATATACATATAGAAATCACAGAGCCTCTTAACCACGGTTTTAGTGAATAGTGCAATTTGTACCTGTGTCAACACAGTTGCTCCACACCTGCTGAACTTTGCCAGGACCGAGTGCTTCTTTGCAGATATTAACTGGTGTGTGGCTGCTGTTTACTTATGATGCAGTTTGCTTTGTATCCCCACCTTCCATTCTCTGGATGCTGCTCCCTTGTCTAAGGTTTGGGGGCTCTGCTGGTGCGGATGCCCTAACAGGCACTCTGGTGATTTGTTTGTTGCCTTGTTCCATGCACTCCTGTTCGCCCTTGAGTGTGTGCCATGGGATAGTGATTGTACTGCATCCTCTAAGAAGTCCTTACAGGCTTCTGCCTCACCGATCAGAGAATTATTAAGAGCCACAGTATGCATTGAGTTAACTCCACTCTGCCTCCAAACCATTGTTGCACCAGATACTCTGCACCGTCACAGCAAGATGCCCAGCCAACACTCCAAACTCTTTTTGTTTTATTTTGCTTCTGCCTGGTCTGAGCGTCCTTAGTATATTCAAAATAGAGCTCCTGCAGTCAATTGCGAGTGTGGTATTTGATTCCAGTAGCCTGGGTCAGACTGTAAGCTAGATCCCTGTATTAGATTAATGCATGCTGGCAGGCCGACAGACCACAGGTGCCATTGACTTAGCAACAGCGGCTGTTGGTCAGCAGTCAGGGCTACAATCGAAGGCTCAGCTTTCATTGAACTAATCCCAGGAACACTGAGGTTGATCCTGGTCCAACTGAATCTTGCTTCACTCAACAGGCAAGAAAGCAAAGATGAAAAACAAAGCTCATCCTGTACCGGGATCTTGCTGGTCTGTTTCTTTCAGTGCCCCACTATTTATCCACTGAACTCGGGGGCCACTGTGCAGCTGTACACACTTTTATAAACCTGACTCTAGGAGGAAGCTTGCAATTTCTCCCTTTTAGTTGAGCTAACTTTTGAGGTTCAGATTTCAGGCCAAGTAAGAGATCAGTGGCTAATTGGACCATGCTTGATTCTGCAGTAATTTAAGTCAAGGACCTTGTGTTGTCCCACTGTGTTTCAAAACAACAGGGCTGCTCCTGGTATCTGTGGCCATGAGCCCCTGGGGAGGGTAACCCAGGCTGGGCAGATGCCAGTGACACTGAGCTGGCTGGTGTCCAGCTCTGGGTGGTCAGTAATCCCAGTCAAGCCCTTTCTGGAAGGTCGTCATCTTGCTTAAAAAAAGAGACAGACTGCAGAGACTCCCTTTCCATATGCACAGAAATGGTAGCAGGTTCATATATGAATGGCACTGAATGGAGTCTGTGCCTACTGCACTTTACCCAGTGCACAGTGGCATCGCTCGGTCTGATGCAGGATTCGAGAAAGTTTGTACACTCCTTTGTGAACAGTAATCTGCGAAAATGAGTGAAAAACCATAACTGAGAATTGGAAAGATCAAATGTATATGCTTTTTAAGTTTAAAAAGAATGATGGGGTTTAACTCAGCTTTCACTGAAAGATCTAGCCTCTTTTGTTGGTACCATGTAGTGTTTTTGTCTTTTTTAACGGTTTATTTGAATATGCAAAGTCCTTTCCTATGCTATGTGAATAAATTGGTGGCTGGTTTCTGCTGTAACTTGTCGCTATTTGTCTTTGTTGAAGAGAAACATTGCCGAGCTGGGCTAGGAATGTAAATCAGGACTCATCTGTACCCTGACTCCGTCCACACACCGTACTCAATTCAATTCTCTCTGCTCCACTCCAACTCATTCTGAAACTATTCACATTGCTCTAGAATAGAGTCAGAATCTATTTTATAAGTGGGAAAGGCTTCGAAAATCTGAGGCAAAAAGGGACTTGGGAGTCCTAGTTCAGGAATGGTGAGGCAATGGGGGCTTAGTGGTATGATCGCAGGACTGTTAATCCAGAGACCCAGGTAATGTTCTGGGGACCTAGGTTCAAAACCTACCACAACAGCTGTTGGAATTTGAATTCAATAATAATCTGGAATTAAGAGTCTAATGATGACCTTGATGAGCTTGACACCATCCAGGACAAAGCAGCTCGCTTGATTGGCACTACATCTACAAGCATTCACTCCCTCCACCACCGACGCTCAATAGCAGCAGTGTGTACTATCTACAAGATGCACTGCAGAAATTCACCAAAGTCCCTCAGACAGACCTTCCAAACTCACAACCTCTTCGTTCTGGAAGGACAACGGCAGCAGATATATGGGAACACCATCACCTCCAAGTTCCTCTCCAAGTCAATCACCATCCTGACTTGGATAATATATCGCCATTCCTTCACTGTTGCTGGGTCAAAAACCTGGAATTCCCTCCCTAATAGCATTATGAGTCAAACCACAGCAGGAGGAATGCGGCGGTTCAAAAAGGCAGCTCACCACCACCTTCTCAAGGGCAACTAGGAATGGGCAAGAAATGCCGGCCCAGCCAGCGACGCCCACATCCCACAAATGTATATATAAAAAAAACCCATGAAACCATTATTGGCTGTTTGGGGAAAAACTCATCTGGTTCACAATGTCCTTTAGGGAAGGAAACTGCCATCCTTACCTGGTCTGGCCTACATGTGACTCCAGACCCATAGCAATGTGGTTCATTCATAGCTGCCCTCTGGGCAATTAGGGATGGGCAATAAATGCTGGCCTGGCCAGCAATGCCCTCATCCTGTGAATGAATAAAAGAATAAAGGAATATTTTAAGGTTAACATCCAAAGGGCTACAACACAAGAGCAGAGACGTACTGCTATTAAGACTCTGGTCAAATCGCATTGTGAGCAGTTTTGGGGCTTGTACCTTATGAAGGATGTGCTGGCCTTGGAGGATGTTCCCATGTATCTGCTCCCCTTGTCCTTCGAGATGGAAGCGGTCATGGGTTTGGAAGGTGCTGTCGGAGGATCTTGTAGACAGTATACACTACTGCTACTGAGCGTTGGTGGTGAAGGGAGTGGATGTGGTGCCAATCAAGTGGGGGCTGTTTTGTCCTGGATGGTGTCAGGCTTCTTGTGTGTTCTTGGAGGTGCATTTATCCAGGCAAGTGGGGAGTATTCCATCCCACTCCTGACATGTGCTTGTAGATAGTGGACAGGCTTTGAGGAGTCAGGAGGTGAGTTTCTTGCTGCAGTATTCCCAGCTTCTGGTTGCTCTTGCAGCCACTGTGTTTATGTGGTGAGTCCAGTTGAGTTTCTGGTCAATGATAACCCCCGGGATATTGATAGTGGGGGAATTCAGTGATGGTAACACCATTGAATGTCAAGGGGCAGTGGTTAGATTGTCTCTTATTGGTGATGGTCATAGCCTGGCATTTGTGTGGCGTGAATGTCACTTGTCACTTGTCATTTGTCAGCCCAAGCCTGGATATTGTCCAGATCTTGTTGCATTGGAACATGGACTGCTTCAGTATCTGAGGAGTCACAAAAAGTGCTGAACATTGTGCAATCGTCGGTGACCATCCCCACTTCTGACCTTATAATGGAGGGATGAAGCAGTTCGAGATGATTGGGCTGCGTACACTACCCTGAGGAACTCCTGCAGAGATGTCCTGGAACTGAGATGACTGATGTCCAACAACCACGACCATCTTTCTACGTGTCAGGTATGATTCCAACCACCGGAGCGTTTGCCCCCTGATACCATTGATTCCAGTTTTGCCACACTTGGTCGAATGTAGCCTTGATATCAAGGGCTGTCACTCTCACCTCACCTCTGGAATTCAGCTCTTTTGTCCATGTTTGAACCAAGGCTGTAATGAGGTCAGGAGCTGAGTTATTGCTGAGTAGGTGCTGCTTGATAGCACTGTCACTGAAACCTTCCATCACTTTACTGATGATTGAGACTAGATTGATGGGGCGGTAATTGGCTAGGTTGGATTTGTCCTGCTTTTTGTGTACAGGACATACTTGGGCAATTTTCCACATTGCCGGGTTGATGTCAGTGTTGTAACTGTACTGGAACAGCTTGGCTAGGGGAGTGGCAAGTTCTGGAACACAAACCTATGTGGGATCGTGTTTCAAATAACGACCGAAATCGGAGAGTGGTGAAAATAGTCTCTTCATTGAGCATCTGCAGTAGCACAGTTCGGGGCGGTGATGGAATCCCGAAGTACAGTTCTTACAGTAGCTTCTTTATTACACAGTTCTTACATACATTAAAATTCCAGCAATATGGTATTACATAATTGTATCTATTGTGCACAAAGGTTTGTGTGACATCTGTCCTGGGTAATCAGGAGATGGTTTAAACATTTGCTAATTGCTGGCTGCTACTCGGATCAGAGTGCCTGTCCAGTCTGATTGAATAATTAGGTGATGTGGAGGTGCTGGTGTTGGACTGGGGTGAACAAGGTCAGAAATCACACAACACCAGGTTATAGTCCAACAGGTTTATTTGAAAACACCAGCTTCCAGATCCTCACTCCTCCTTACAGTGTCAATGAGAGAGGTATTATCAGACACAGAATTTATAAGTAAAAGATGAAAGGGTCACACCGCTGACCAGGATGTATTAAACAAATCTGAGATGCTGTTAAATCTTTAATCAGGCATAAGGTTTTAATTGATTACTATGTGTATGTAAATCCCCAAATTCCTTTCAAGACACTGCCCTGAGAGAACTAAAGATGTTATCATTGTAAAGAAGTGGTGACATTTTAGGTCGGACAGTGCATGTTAGGTGTGAGGCCCTGTTTAGAATCTGTTTGTTATGTAATTTTACTCGGACTGCTTTTATTTCTAAAGTAGGGATTTACAAAACGCCACATTCACTGACTATGTATAAATTGTCGACTTTTTGAACAAAATAGAATATATCTGAAAATACAAAACCACTGCATATTTTCAAATGTGTGTGAGAGAGAGAGAAAGAGAGAGGGAGTGCGCATGTTTGTGAGACGGAGCGTGTGGGAGTGTGGGCGCACATGCATGAGAGTGTATGGCATGGTGGGGTCACCTGTAGTGGGACATGAACCCCAGACTCAGTTGAGGCCGTCCTCATGGTTAAGAAACTTGGCTTTCAGCCTCTGCTCGGCGCTTGTGCGTTGCTGTGCATCCTGAATGCTGCGTTGTAGGACATTTACCCAAAGATCTGAGGCTGAATGTCCTTGACTGCTAAATTCTTACCCCACAGGGAGGGAACGTTACTGTCTGGCTATTGTTATGTGGTGTCCATTCATCTGTTGTCATCGCATCTGCATGGTTTCGCCAATATGCCATCCATCGGGGCATCCTTGGGGGAACAAGACTGATACCAGAAGGTGTTGAAGGACGCCCTCATGGGAACAGGATACAAAGCTCAACTCATCCATTGCCAGTTCCAACGGGCCACAGCGAAAAACCAAAATGACCTCAGAAGACAGACATGGGATTTGACCGATTGGGTACCGTTCGGCGTCCAGTATTTCCCGGGAGCGGAGAAACGACGCCATGCTCTTCACAGCCTTCAGCACCTTATCGATGACTGTGAGCACCTCACCAAGATCTTCCCCATGTCTCCACTTCTCGCCTTTAAACAACCACCAAACCTTAACCAGCCCATCATTCGCAGCAAACTACCCAGCCTTCAGGACAACATCGAATGCAACACTACACAACCCTGCCAGGCAACCCCTGCAAGACATGTCAGATCATCGCCATGGATACTGCCATCACATGTCACTCGGCCAATGTTGTCTATCTCATACGCTGCAGGCAAGGATGCCCCGAGATATGGTACATTGGCGAAACCATGCAGACGCTACGACAGCGAGTGAATGGACACCAACCAATAATCGTCAAACAGGGATGTTCCCTCCCAGTGGGGGAACACTTCAGTGGTCAAGGATATTTGGCCTCGGATCTTCGGGTAAAAGCCCTCCAAGACGGACTGTGGGATACACTACAATGCAGAGTCGCTGAGCAGAGGCTCTTAACCAAGTTTGATCCGCACGGCCTCAACCGGGATCTTGGGTTCATGTTGCACTCCAGGTGACCCGACCAAGCTGTACACTCTCCCTCGTGCCCTCACACATATGCACATGCATTCACACACACTCACTCACACACAGATCCCGTCTCATACGTAAACTGTCTCCCTTTCACAGCCCCAACCCACCCACACACACACACACCCACACACACACATCCACATACTCTCTCCACCCCCTCTCTCACACACGCACACACGCCCTCTCTCTCTCTCACACACTCACACACGCCCTCTCTCTCTTTCACTCACTCACTCACACACCCACCCACCCACCC